TGTTGCTGTCGCCTGAGGGCAGCAAGAAGAGGCTGCACAATGCCCAATGCAGGGAGTTTTTATTGGAGAGGATTCAATTCCCTAGCAGCCACAGTAAGAGGCCCACCCACCCATTTGCCCATCCACCTGTCCTGTTCACAATGCAGCCAGCATCTGCAAAGTGGTATGATTGCAGGGACTATATCTTCATTGAATTTTGTGTTGAAGACCGTAAACATGCTAATATAAATTTTTAAAATCCAAACTTACTTTCAGTTGTCTTGGAGGAAGTGATAATTTTAAACATTTAAATGAAATTGATCATTTTTGTTGTATTAATCCAAGTGATTTCAAGCATAGACGAACAGACAGGTCAATTTTTTGTTGTATATGAAAAGAAGAATCTGGCCAGTCATGGCCTAGTTTGACAAAAGAAAGTGCAAAGCTTAGTTGGCTTAATGTGGACTTCAATAATTGGAAAGACTGGGATGATCATTCTGATGAAGACATGTCTAATTTTGGTCATTTCTTTGAGATGATGAACATGGGTGGTGGTGAAGAGGTAGATATACCAGAAGTAGATGGAGCAGATGATAATTCACAAGACAGTGATGATGAAAAAATGCCAGATCTGGAATAAACAAATGTCATCACCTGAATTTTGAAAAAGAAAATAACTTCACTGCAAGATTTCATAATTGAGAGAATTCGAGTTGATAGCTCTAAAAGCAGATGCTACATTTGCCTCCTTTGACCCATTTTTCCAACCTGTTTTGGTTTTTTTTTTTTTTCTTTAAGGCTTCACTATGGGTTGATAATATACCACAGTATGGGGCAATTTCAAGTCACCTGAGGGATTATTCTTATGCATGGACATTTCCCAGACTTTCATGAGCTGTTGAGGTCATAGACAATACAGCAATTGTGATAATAAAATAATTTCACCTAAGTCTCTTTTACTTAATAACATAGTTACTGATATGATAGAAAGTTCTCAGCATAGGATACATAACTAAATTTTAGATTTTGGACATGGGCTCAAAATTGGCCTATACATTAAACTGATAACCTGCCATTCCTCTGGTATACCTTTCAGAATTGTTCAACTAAAATTTATTTTTCAAAAAAATTATTTCACATTATTGTAAGTGATTCAGATGTACCTTGGCTAAAATTAGGGGATGCCCTTAACTTAAATGGTTTTTGAAGCGTATACATTTGGTATTAATTGTCCCTTAAGCTTTTACATCTCTCAGCATGGAGGACAAAGAAAGCTGTACATTGTTGGCTTGGGGGAGTCTGTACATTTAGACCAGAATTGTATTTGCACTGTCAGTATGGCAAATGAATGAAAATGTATTACTACACTATTGGATTTTTAATTGTTTTTCATTTAGCTTGTACCATAGCTGAGAAACCTGAATTTATGTTCATGACAGTGGGATTGTTTTAAATGTCTACATTCTTTCTTATAAATTTTGGGACACTTTAAAAAAATTTAAATTTTCTTGGAATTACAAAGATGCAATTATTTTTCAATTTTCTTCATCACAAATTTTTGTGAACTAACCTGGATTACCTAAATATTTGAATGCTACTTATACTCTTGTTTCTATGAATTATTTATCAAGTTTATGTCCATAATCAGAGTTACAGAAACAGTTAATCATGGAAAGTGATTGGCAAAGTTAAGCACTGCTTTCACATAAACCCAAGGTTTATTTACTCACATAGAAAAACAACAAAAACTTTTTTTTTGCTTTTGGTACTAGGAATTGAACTCAGGACCTCGAGGGTAGCCAAGCAGGCACTTACACCACTGAGCTATATCCCCAGCCCAATAAAAACTCTGACATTAAAAATTCCCAATTCTTAAGAGTTAGCAACTACAGTGGCTTTTAAGACTATACAAAGTCAATTTTTCAGATTATATGCTGTTAAAATTTAGTATTACTATGTTCATATTACCTTCATAATGGTCATATCGGTCATCCAAAAGTTTTGTCATTTTCTCTACCAATCCTAACTCTCTTTATCATTTTTAATATTCAAGTCATAGTTTTTAATCCAATTTATTAAAACTTTGTTGGTATTCTTTCTTTAATAAACTAAACACATTTTTACTTACATCTTTCAGTGCTAGGAGCAACTTTTAAGAACACTGGCACTAACAATACTACTAGTAATGTGGGATAAACTTAAGTGATTTGTTTCATCAGAAAATTTACCTTCTGGTGATTTTCTATAAAATCTTGGAAAGAAATATACACATCTTGCACTACTTATTTATTATATGCATGATTTATGTACCTGAAATTTTCAACTACTTTCCATAAATATATCAATAAAATAAAAAATATATAGACATAGATATAAATATACCATGTAAGGGGAATACTAATATATAGCTCTATAATTTTCTTTTCATTTAGTAATATATTACAGATGCTTTTCCATATCAATAAATAAAAATCTGCATATGCCTTTCAAAAAAATATCAGAAAATACTTATTTTCTAAGTTTTTCTAATTCCCTTATCATTCAGTAGAAAAATAAAATGAAGTGCACATGGTTATATATGCAAAACTAAAGTGTATACTGGGAATTTTCTCAGAGGATCTGAAAACATCATATCATAGTGATATATGTGTGCCTATGCTTATAGCAGCACAATTTGTGATAGCCAAATCTTGGAAACAACCAAGATGCCCATCACCTGAGGAATGGTTGAAAAAGATGTGGTATTTTTACACAATAGAGTATTATTCAGCTATTAAGAATGATAAACTGCAAGCCTTTATATTGAAGTGGATGCCACTTGAACATATACTCAGAAGTGAAATAAACCAGACACACATGTGTAAATATCATATAGTCTCCCTAGTGTAAGAACTCAGAAGAAGAAATACAAATAGAAAGATATAATACAAGTAAAAGGAAAGCAGGATCCCAAGGACTTAACTAATCAAGAGAGGGAAAGGAGAAGAGCTAGGAAACATGACAATGTCAAGCCTTACTGTTATATGTAGAAGATGAGCAAGGCAATGATCCTGAGCAGCTTCAGAAGATTTTTTAATCTAGCAGTTATTTGAAAAGATTCTCACCCTGACTTGCTATATATACTGATACCTGTGAATTAAGCTACTGAAGTGCAGATGGTAATTTGTAATAGTAGTTTCATGCTTGGAGTGCCTGTCATTCTGGTCTACTGAATATGGGCTGCTTGTCATGACATGCCAGTTGCTGCTATGATGTTTCTCAGGTAGATGGTTGTTCAAAAAGGGGGCATTGAAGGAAAGCAAGAGACAGGAAAAGGAATATTGTGGGACTGTCCTGCTTCTATGTTGTATATGGTGAGATTTTTAGACTTATGTGCAAACATGAGAAGTATATAATTCTTTATGCCTATTTTTAAAATATATTCTAATTTTTAAATGTTTTTTATCATATTCTGTAGGGACTTAACAACAAGCTTGTCTTCTGGATGGTTAACAACCTGAGTTTGCAGAACAAAATTAGAGTAAAAGGAGGGCTGCAAGGAAAGCCAACATTTTGGCCCTAGCCTTCTAAGGTCAATTAAGACTCAGGACATATGAGAACTTGTACTGTGATGTCATGTAACTCGGTAGTGTCCCAAATTTTCTGATCAAGGAGATTATAGGGCCAAAGAGGAAAATGATCAATGATGTAGAGTGTGCCTAAGGAGAGTCACATGGAGAGAAAACATTCTCTCAGGCTTTCACAGAGAGCACATTGGTCAAGCAATGGCCGTGACTCATCCACATGGCTGACACTGACAAAGGTTCTACAATTTGAGGTACAGGATCTCAGGATAACTCCTGAGGGGATTTCACTGACCTTCTCAGATCAAAAAGCTACAACTTTTGTTGCATAGGTCCTGCTTTACCTTGGTCTTAACCATCCAGAAGAAAAGTATAAAAACGAAATATAAGAAGTAAAGCCATGCTGTTATGTTGAGCTGTGGGGGACTCAGGTCAACAATTTCTGACATTGCCAGTGAAGTGGAAGATTCAATACTACTATGGGCTACTGGACTCTTTTAGAACATTTTTGCTGTATTTACACACCTATAATATTCAAATAAAGGAACTTAACAAAAAAAGGGTATACAGATGAATGTCCATTTTGTATCTGTGTATTCAAAGTGGTTAGGATATATAGTTACACTCTTTTAATGAATAGAATGATTTGTTCTGATGGTGTTTGTAAATAGGATATCAAATCTGCATCTTGTACAGCAATTAACCACTAAGAAGAATGTATGCAGTGTGTTAATAATTGAAACTGTCCTACCAATTTGATTTGAAACTGTCTCATTGCTATTTATCAATAAAATTATGGCAAAAAAGAAAATATTAAATCCTGTAAAAAAAGAAAGAAACCCAAAACTAAAGTGTAAATAATAAATCACACAGTTTTTTCAATAAAAACATAGAAATATTTTTATTTACATGATTCCATAAATCAATATGAAGTCAAAATTCACAATTAACATGTACATAAAAATTCAGAAAACCATCCTCAGAATAAGTTTCTATACAAAATTTACAGATGTCTAATGAACACCATTTTTCCTTATGTGCTACGGAGTTTAGAGGCTCTGCTTGAATATTCCCCAGGTCAAGCGCAGAATCTTTCTCTTCATCAGTTTCTCCAATGACTGAAACACTGTCATCTCTTACAATGTATGATCCTAGTACCACTTGTTCAACTCCTTGTTCAGAGTTGAATACTCATTCATGGCTTTCATCCAAAATTAAATTAATGGTCTGGGCAAAACCTTTAAGTCTACCCATAATCATTCTTCCATCAGGAGTAATAACAGCAGTAGTTTGGTTAACGTAGTTTTCCAAGGCAGGCATCATGTTGCTGAGCCCAGAGATTCCAAGCTACAGATGCCAGAGAGCAGCTAAAGAGGACAGTCTGGAACAAGCACTGGCTAGCATCCCTCAAGAATATTTCAAAGGGTCGAATCATGCTTGCTGGGGCCTCAAGATGTCCCTCCATCTAGAGATAAAAGCTTGGTGACAAGAGTGTTTCTGGCAAATATCCAAATAAAGATACTCATTTTCCAGTGTCAAGTGTACTTCTGGAAGATGCTATAAAATCAAAACTAGTCCTGTTCAACACTTTCTCCATTTTTCCTAAATTTTGATGTCTCTGTGTTTGGTTTGGACTATGCACAGGATGAATCTATCTGTATCTTCTCAGTAACTTCAGGAGGAACATCCATACTGATATGGAAATTGAAGGAATGTTTGACAAGTCTGACCAATGTAAGGACCAACAACTGACTGAACATGATCTTCAGCAGATGAGACAATTCAGAAAAAGAGAAAGCAGATTTGTCTTAGGGAGGATGATGGAAATCCACACCCATGACAAGTCATGGACTACAGTAAGTGGTGTGATATTACAAATCTCTCTCATTTGTTCTCTTTTCCCCTTCCCTAACCTGCCCTTCCCTTATGTACTAATATCCCGAAGTATAAGTAAAGTAGCATGAATATAAAGTAGTCAAAGCAAAGAGTAAAGCAAAACTAAAGTGCAAATAACAAATCACAATGAGAGTAAAAAGTGCACAAACTGGTCTACAATTTTAGCCTAGTTAGGGCTAAGCTTTCTAGTAGCTTGAACTAGGAACCTGATTAGTTGCATACATTGTATGATAGCAAATAAACGTAAGACCACCACAACAAAAATAAACCATTGAATATTTAAAATAAATCAAGTTGCTTTTTAATGTGGGGGTAAATTTACGGTAAATTGGGAGGAATTTAAGGATGTTTCTTAAGAAGCAGTAATTTTAGGTAGGCAACTGTGAGGAAGATAATTATCATACAAGCCAAAGCCACATAATTCTGCCATAACCCCCAAGTTGAGAGATCAATGCCATAGGTTGTCAAGTATTCATCACCATAACATCTGAAATGCAACAAAGAAAAAATACATTTCACTACTAGTATCAGTCAAATATTATTTAATATATTGACTAAGTCTTTAGTTAAAGAAGTCTATATGTATCAAAAAGTTGGTAACAATTTATCTCATCATATATAACAGCCAATACTCATTGGCTGTTTACAATGCAGTTAGAAATTGCACACTAAATAACTTATACCTCATAGTTTATTTAACCATAAAATACTCCAAAGGAATATAGATACATGCACAGTTAAAAGAGGAGGAAAATTAAGCTTATATAACTCAGCCAAGTTTACAGAGTCACACTAGAACTAAATGTTTAGGTTTTTTTTTTTTTTTTTTTTTTTTACCGGGGATTGAACTCAGGCCCTCGCACTTGCCAGGGAAGTGCTTATTCCACTGAGCCATCTTCCTGGCCCCAAATGTTTAGTTTCTTAAGATTTTTTTATTTCAAATGTACAATGCTACTCTCTTCAAAGGAAATATTTATCAAGTATCTTTATTTTTTTTAATGGAGAAATTCTAAGCTGTAACCAATGATACCCACAGCCCTTCCTCAGGTGTTCAAAGCTTTGTATTGTTCTGCTCACCAACAAGACAACATTCCAGAGCACAAGCTAAAAATTCTAGAAGTAGGACCAGTGGGGAGTGAGGGCCTCAGACCAGAGTCATTTTCCACCAGAGCTGGCACCAAGACAGCTGAGTACTGTAGATTCTCAGCGATATGATATGACTAGCAAAGCTTAGGTTATTGCTGGAGGACAGCAGGACGGAGAATCTTGGCACAGGTTAGAAAAGCAGCTGGTACTAAAAATATCTGGTACAACCACAATTATTACTGGCTACCCTTATTCTGCTGCTCCTAGGATTTAGAGGCTCTACAAACACCAGTATCCTCTCTTTACAGCAAGACCAGCTTCCTCCTTTCTCTTGAAGGATGAGCCTTAAATGAGTGAGAAGCCTGTAATGGATTCTCATCTGGTCAGCCTTTTCCTGTCCATGTGGCCTGGACACTACACTGGCAGTCACTTGTCACTTTGTCATGTAGACACCACAAGCATGTCAAATAAAAAAAATGAATGGACAAATAATCTCTTTACATAGACATTTTTCCTGTCAAATAATAAGAAATAAAAATATATCACATTACTAAAACTTACTTATATACATTTGGACATTGGCTGAGACTGGGCATGGTTGCATATGCCTGTGATCCCAGCACTGGGGAGGCTGAAAACAGAGGATCACTATGAGTTTTATCTGTATAGTGAGACCCTGTAGACCCTGTACCAAATACATAAAAAAAATTAAATAAAGATATAGACACAGGTCTATAGAAGTTGTTGACCTGGGCTGAGGAGATGGTTCAGCAGTATTAAGTGCCTGCCTGGCAAGTACAAGGACCTAGGTTTAATGCTTGGTACCACATGCCATGCTAGACCTGGGCACCAAGCTGGCCCCCAAACTGGGTATGGTGAATCATGCCTGTGATCTTAGTGCTGGGGAGGCTGAGATAGGAGGATCACTACAAGTCTGAGTTGTATAACGAGGCCCTCTACAAAATAGATAGATAGATAGATAGATAGATAGATAGATAGATAGATAGATAGATAATTTAAAAAACAAATAAATAAAATTTTAAAAAGTTGTTGACCTGAAAGTACTTGTATTAGCTCTAAGCCAAGGGCCTTTCTACATTACACCACAGAAGGTACCAGATGCATTAGGACACTGAGCACAGACTTACATTATATAGTTGAGACAGTTACTGCTTTCTGTGGCATTGAGTCCTGCACAGTAGATTTGTCCCAAAAATTCATTGTGCCGCAAAGCCTATAACACAAGAAAAAGCTAAGCAAGATAAATACTATAGTTTTAAATTTCAAAACATTTACCAAGAACTATCAAAATAATACCCATAAGTTGAATCCATATTTTTATTTTTTAAATGTACTAGTATTCACAGTCTTTATCAAGGCAAAAGAGCTAAAGTTATTCACTTCCTGGCAGTGAAGAAGACTAGGTCAGACATAACACTTCAAATTAGTCAAGAGAGGAATCCTCTGTACTACCCAATCTCTCTCTCCTCCCCCAATTTCATAACCCTGTATACACTACATGTAAAATAGTACAGTGGTGTTCAATGAATATTGTTTTTGGTTTTGGTTTGGTGCCAGAAATCAGACTCAGGACCTTGTGCTTGCCAGGCAGGTACTTGTGTCACTGGGTTTAAATTCTCAGCTTCAATGAATATTATTTATTTTTGTCAACAACCTTCTTTTTGTTTTTATTCCAACTAGCTATAATTAAAGGAGTTGAAATCTCATTTAGTGTATTGACAGACAAGGTTTCTTTGGATTTTATTGGCTTGCTAAAGTCACTATGACTATGACTAGGATATGCTTTGTGGTTTTCGCATTTCTTGTAATTGCTCTTTTGATGTGTTGTAGTCTCTTACCCTTTCTCATTTTCTTGTGGACAATATCTTGTCTACCAATGAGTCAATTTTTCACTTTTACTATGAGATTGTTCCCCAGCCTTCACTTCTCTTAAACAGCTCAGGGTGGAAGAAAACCCAGCTGATATCCTAACCTTCTGCTAAGCCAGCTTATTAGGAAATTGTCACCCACTGCTCATAAAATAAAATTCATGAAAGCAGCCAACTGTAGCTAATTGCCAGAGAAAAGAGATAGCTAGGGTTTGTGTAGCCAGTTCCCAGCTTGGTCATCTAATTAGAACCATAGACAAGGACAACTTACCATGAAGCCATAATGAGGAATACTGAAGTACTGAAGCCACAAGAGCTGAGGTGCCATGGTTTCAAAATACAATGACATCGCCAAAAAAATCTTAAAAAAAAAAAAAAAAACGACAACTGATATGTCAGAAATGGGCCAATGATTTTGAGAAATTCTCAGCAAGCCCTCTTCAAAAATTTTATGGGTCAGCCAGATAGTTCAGAAGACTAAAGTGCCTGCTTAGGCAGAGCATAGCAGCTGAGGTTGCCAGCCCCAACCCCAGGGTGCACTGAGACTGGGCGTGGTGGTGCATGCCTGTAATCCCAGGATTTAGGAAGCTAAAAACAGGACACTCACTATGAGTCCAATCTATATAGTGAGAGTTTGTAGACCTTGTACATTTAAATTTTTTTTCACAACCTTCTAAATATTTCTGCTAAGACCAAGTCTTATAATTTCTTTCCATTATTCTAAATGCTTTACCTTCCTCTTTTGTGTGAGGATACGTATGCATAGATAGGCCCCTTATCATTTTAAAGGAGGAGTGATATATTTTAAATCTATATTTCAATTTATTTGAGATATTCTTAGTTATCATGGCTATGCCATCAGCATTCTGTCACTGCATATAACAGAAGCATAAGAGAGAGATTGAGTCCAGGATCATCCCCTCCCCAAGATAGGAAATCTAGAGATACCTAAGTCTCTCTCTCTCTTTTTTTTCTTTTTATTGTTTGCGGGGCTGGGGATTGAACTCAGGACCCTGCACATGCCAGGCAAGCACTTATTCTACTCTGCTATCTCCCCAGCCCCTAAGTCTCTTATTTTTAATCAGACATAGTATTTGCATGTAACTCATGTATAGCCTTTATGCTTTAAATATACACATCCTTTATATTTTAAATAATCTATGTTTCTCATGATACCTTAAACAATATAAATTTTGTGTAAGTAGTTTATCCTATATTAAATTATGGAGTAGTGACAAGAAAAAAGCTGCACATATTCAGTACAGAAACAATTTTTGCTTTGTATAGTTTCGATTCATGGTTGTTTGAATCTCTGAATACAGAACCCATGGACATAAACCCATGGTCGATTGTACTGACTATTCTAATGACATCATAGCAATATGTTTCCACCAACAAAGTTATAATCTAGAAATAGAATAGAATGATATTTTTTCATTTTTTATATGAACTTCAAAGTGAGTTATCAGAGGCCCATATACAGAATCCCCAGAGCAGGTTTTATAGGACAGATGAGTGTGCAGAAAAAAGGGAGAAAAATTCCCTCTGAGAGTAATACAGTTTATACTCACCATCATAAAGAGAAAATAGATGTTCATGAGAAGGGTTGTTATGGATACCCCATTCTGACCCACTGCTATGGCCAGTGCCAAGGAACTGGCTGAATAACGCACCATCATAAGGGTAAAAATCATGGTAAAGAAAGACTTTAGCACTGGTTTTGATCCTTAGAAAGAAAAGAAGGGATTAGTTCAGCTTCCTGGTTTACTGTGAATTTGGGAATGTTTATTGTGCATATAACAATAATACTAGCATTCTGAGAAAAACTAATTAACATAAAAAATAGCCCATTATCCAAGTACCCTGAACCTATTATATATATCACCGTTCCCTCTGTGTAGCTGCATAAAGCCATCATGTAATTTTCTATTTCACATTTACTGGAAAAACACTTTTCCACATATTACCTATGCTCTTATTTATGTGATTATGAATCTAAGTCCCTGAGGTGAAAAGCTCCAGGAAACACAGTAGGCCAGAATTCTCCTATTTTCTCCTACAGGAAACTTAGCCATAGCTGTTCATTTACCCAGACATTGTCAGAGCAATTTTCTGAGACAGCACTAGTGAGAAGACTGGGATTCCTGAGCTCAAAGGGTTTTACTATCTTTGGGAGGGTAGAGGCCTCCATAACATAAATCCCTCTAGACAAAGCACCACAAAATTCTGAGATGGAAAATGTGACTAAATTTCATAAACTACTTTGTAAACTATAATGAGCAAATAGTATAATTCATATGGTCTAAAGATTTTGAGAGAGCCAAGTCTTTATACATGCTTAATTTTTTATGGACACATTTATTAGAAAAATGGCAGGTTAAGGCACTATCAATATTTATTATTGTGCATTATATTGTAAAACATAGATAATTCTGATGTGTGTGTGTTTCCATGCATGTACCATAAAATATATGGATATTCTGCTGCAATGAATCTGAGATGAAGCCTAAACATATAACATGAATGTATCTGTCTACATCCTTCAAACAAGTATTTTTAATAAATCAATAAACTTCAGAAGTGAGCATCTTTCATCATTCAAGAAATGGACAGGTATGCTGTCCATATCTACATATTCTTCTCAGAGATTCTGTATTGTATTTGATGCTAGCTCTCTCTGAATATGAGTGTAATACTCTCTGGTTTACAGTAATCTATATTTCCATAGATATTAGAGATTTACAAACCAATCTATTTTATCTTTATAAAGAGATATATGTATACAGATACAGAGAATGTAATGTAGATGAGCAATGAATATCTTTTTCTTTTAGGATAGTTCATAAATTTTTTCAAATGTTTGTGTGTGAAACATAGTATCTCTCAGTAAGATGCAGGGTTTTTTTTTCTGTATTTTTAGTGAAGGGTCTATAGGGTGTTCTGGGTCTCACTACTAGATCAGACTTATAGTGATTCTCAGGTTCACAGCCTCCCAAGTGCTGAGATTACAGGCACGTGCTTCCACAGCCAGTCCCAAGCCATCTCAGTGCACCCTGGGGGCGGGGTCAGTGTAGCAAGCCCAGGGATTGAATCCCTGGCCCCTGTGCCTGTTTGCAGGTGCTTTAATCCACTCACCTATTTGGCCAGTCCAAGATGCAGTTTTATAAGTCAGTTTAATGGGTGAGATGTGGTCAGGTTTTGAGAAAAATGTCCACAATGGACAGCGACTTCTGAGAATACATAATGTGTGCATTCTTCCCTAGCTCATGGCTTGGTTTGTGCTTTTAAGAACAATAAATGTGCTTGCAGAGAGAAATAGGTTTATCTCCTATCCAAGACAACAGATGCACTTCTTTGTTACTCACCTAACATGAAGTATGGAATACAAGTAAATAAAACACTTGGTAACAACCTCCTAGGTAATAATTCAGATAGTAATTTCCCAAAGTAATAAGATGAGAGTCTGTAGTATCCACTGATATATTCATGTCTATAGAAGAAAACACACATCATATATCTTAGTTATTTTTAAAAATCAGCTATCAGAAAATGAGATGATTGCTATACAGATTTTTGCTGCCATCAAAGACCTAACAAGACAGTGTCCCGTTAAATGTAAAAGAAAAAAATAGTGCCCCATGTCACCTGGGGATACACACCCATGTCATTTATCCTTGCAAGTGCCATTCTTCTTTGCTGTGACCTCTCTCACTACACATTCCCTCCTGCTGGCAGCCACATTGGCCCAGAATCCCTTCCAGGTGCACAAAATCTGTGTCTCTCCCCTCTCTTCATGAACTCTGCCTCTCCTATGATACTGGTTTTCCCTAAAAAGCAGCACTTCAGGGGCTAATCTAGGTGGTCAAGAGGCTTTGTTTCTCCCCACTTTTGATTGTGAGAAAAGTAAAATGGCTATTTTCCAAGGTCCCCAGTAGAACATCAAATTACTACACTCTTTTTACTTCTCATATTCTCATGGTAAAATAGAGACTTCTTTCTTCAATGATCACACCTTTAACATATGACTCAGCCACTAAAGCCTAATCTTTGTGCTCCTGATATTATGTATGATCCCAAAGTTTTCTACCAGTATCCTTCCTCACTTCTTCTCTGTCCAGAAAGAAATTGCATGACAAAGTGGCTAAATCACTTCCATCTTTGCAAAACTTGAGAAATACCACCAGCCGAAAAAAACAAGCCTTTGGCTCTTTCCATTTCTGAGGGATAAAGTTGATCACACTTTTTCTCAACTTTACTTCTCAAATTTGCTACTCAACACAATATGTAGTCTATGAAGCTTTTTAGACTTTTCTTTGAGGGTCATCAATATGAAAGCATTTTCAGCCCCTTTATTGATTTCTTGTAGAATTGGGATTTGCTAACCATATCTTAACTTTGAAAATGCTTATTCTTATTAACAGGTCACATCTTGATTTTTTTCATCTCACCTCTGCCAAGCTTTACTCAATATTTATAGTTCTGACACATATTTCTAAAGCTTATGTTATGCACAACTACATACAATTTAAAATGTGCCAATTAGACAAATAAATGAATGAAAATAAAAGGCACTAGTAAACAGTAACATGGCCTCCTTGTTCCATTTCTAGATGTTGCCCCAGACCAGTGATCCTTCTCACAACTGCACCACTCACATAAAGAGCTTCTTCTCCACCACAAAGATCTCCCCAGCTGACTTGTTGCTGAAACACTCATAGACGGTCAGCATAAAGAGGACCAAGGCTCTGTCAGATCAAAATAGAAAAAAAATATCACCACAGTTCACATTCTTCAAGAGGTTTTCTACCCATGCAATTCTTTTTTTACAGACAATGCAATTCAGCAGGGTTTTAGAAAAAAAGAAGGGGAAGAAGGAGAAGGAAGAGGAGGAGGAGGAGGAGGAGGAG